TCTTTCAAATTGGAAAATCAGGGGCACAAATTGTATTGAAAGCCATGACTCTCGAGTTCTTGGTTCAGCTTTTGGACAATTATCCGTGAAGTGCTGATTGCAATCATTGTTTACTCATGGTTCAAAAGTCCTTAGCGTGAGGGTGACTGTTCTGGGAATGGAACCTGATCTTGCAGGACCTTATGGGCACATTACTATTTCCATAGAAGAGTAAGTTGTAAAATTGAGGAAATGTCATTTGGGTAAAAATTAATGTGTTAACTAAGACAAAAGGGAAGGTAAACAAGATTTATTTAGAGACAGAGTATCCATAAATAGAGAATTAATACATGAAAATATAATCCCCAAAATTACCTCAATCCAGAAGATTTGACCTAGAACTGACTTCTCTGTAAGAGGCAATGACTTTTTTTACAAATGTGTTGAATTTAAAGATTTCCACTAAAAAGTATGTACTTCAGTGACATTGAATTCTAAAGAGTCACTAGATTCATATTTGTTATTTTTAATGAACTTAAATTTTTAGAGCTCCTTTAAGTTTACAACAAAAGAAATGGAAATAATCGACTCCACATATGCTCCCTGCTTCCTCCATCATGTGTGACCTCCCCCACCACCAACATCCTTGACCAGATGGGCAAATTTGTTATAATTGATGAAGTTACATTGGCATGTCATTATCAACCAAAATCCACAGTCTACATTAGGGTCCATTTCTAGTTTTTTACAATATGTGAGGTTGCACAAATGTATAATGACATGTGTCCACCACTATACATCATACAGATCAGTTTCACTGCCCTAAAAATCCTCTAGTGCTCCAACTAGTCATCCCTCCCTTCATACTTACACCACTGATATTTTGCTGTCTCCATAGTTTTTTCTCTTTTCCAGAACATTTTATGGCTGGAAACACAGTTTTTAGCCTTTTCAGGTTGATTTCTTTACTTAGTAATATGAATTAAAGATCCATATTACTAAATTTTAATACGTTTTTATGACATGTTAACTAATTTCTTTGTAACAGCAAATGATTTCTATTTTCTGAATATACCAGTTTCTTTCTTTGTTTTTTATTAAGTCACCTACTGAATTGTATCTTGGTCGCTTCCAAATTTTGGCAACCAAGGATATAATTGCTGTAAGTATAAATATCCACATGTAGGCATCGTGTGGGAATAAATGTTCAACTCCTTTGAGTAAATACCAAGGAGCAGGAGAGCTGGATTTTAAGGTAAGTGTATGTTTAGTTGTGAAAGAAACAACCAAATAGTCTTCCAAAGTTTTGTCTTATTTGAGATTTCCACCAGCAGTGAGTGATAGTTCTTATTGTTTTACTTCCTTATCAACATTTGGAGTTGTCTGTATTCTGGCCATTCTAATATGTGTATACTAGAATCTCATTGTTTCAATTTGCTTTTGATTGATATATAAGGTGCAACATTTTTTTCATATGCTTCTTTGGTAAGGTATTTGCAAAGATCACTTGCACAGTTTTAAATCAAGTTGCTCATTTATTTATTGTTGAATTTTAAGAATTCTTTCTTATATTTTGGATACCAGTCATTTCTCAAATATGTTTTGTCCAAAAATTTTCTTCTAGTTTTCTCATGCTTTTGAAAGATCTTTCATAGAATAGACAATTTTAATTTTAACAAAGTATCTTATGCATTATTTTTATCATGGACTATGACCTTTTTGATATCACTAAAAAAAATAATCGCAATATCAAAGGTCACCTATGTTATCTTCTAAGAGCTTTACGTTTAGGTCTATAATCCATTTTGATTAATTTTTGTGAAGAATGTAAAATCTGTATGGAATTAGCTTTTGTGTGTGAATTCTCAGTTATTGTAACATCATTTGTGGAAAAGACTTTCCATTATTATATTGTCTTTGCTCCTTTGTCAAAGATTAGTTTACTATTTGTAGTGTATCTGTGCTCTCTTTTCTATTCCATTAATCTGTCTATTTTTCCCCCAGTACATTCTCTTTTCATTACTGTGGTTTTCTAATAAGTCTTCAAGTTAGGTACTATCAGTCCTCTAATTTAGTGCTTCTTGAAAATTGTTTTGGCTACTCTGGTCATTTGCTGCTCCCTATAAACTTTCAAATTAGTTTGTCAATTCTACACCGAATTCATTTTTACACCACTTCCAATCTCTTTTTCACATAACAGTTTAGCATTATTTCTCATCAAAAGCATCATAAATGTAAGTATTAAAAGAAAATTTGATTTTATGACTAGAATAGAGTAGATTATTGTAATCAGTTACTTTTACTTACTAAAATTAATATTTTCATTTTGAAATATGTAAATTTTAACAAAACTGAAAATATAATAATATTGTAGATAGAGTTCCCAATAAAAGAATTATATTTCCTACCTTAAACCTAGTGTAAAAAAGCTTAAAATGGATTACATTTATAATGTCTTCAATTTCTGAAATGATATTAAGTCATTTTACCAGGTCAAAAAACTGATTTGATCCTCTGCTTTTCCTTAGCCTCAATCATAAAAAATAGGAATTCTGATACATTCAATTCTCATCCCTAGCAGCATTATTCTGCTTTACTGTGGTGAAAATATCTTATTCTAGCAGAATACTGTGGGTTTTGCCAGCGGGATCCAATAAGTCAAGGCATTCGTGGCAATGGATAAGTAACTCTAAGTGTTGCAATCGGATTTAACTCACTCTACCTATGACTATATTCCAAAGCTCAATTCATGTCATCATTATGTAACTGTTAACTTTGTCCAGGAAGGAATAAGAATGTTCCATCCATTGGGTGGTAAAATTATGTTATATGTTTAGTAATGAGTTAAAAGTTTTGACTTCTTTGCCTTAATATTGGCTATGGTCCAGAACACATTGACTATCAATAAAAAGATAAACAAAGGATCAAGAATATACACTGGAGCAAGGATAGATTCTTCAATAAGTGGTGTTGGAAAACTGGACAGCCACATGCAAACAAATTAAACTGCATCACTATCTCACAAAAGAGAATATAAATTATTGGGACTACATTAAACTAAAAGGCTTCTACACAGCAAAAGAAACTTTCATTTAAACAAAATGATACCCACACCTGACAAGGATATTAGCCATGATCTAACAACTAAAACAACAACTAATATAACTAAAACAACAACAATGAAGATAGGCAGAAAAGTTCAATAGGCACTTCTCCAAAGAAGACATCCAGGTGGTCAACAGGCACATGAATAAATGTTTGTCATCACTTATTATTAAGGAAATGCAAGTCAAAACCACAGTGAGTTACCGTTTCACTCCGGTGAGGATGGTTCATATCAAAAGGACTAGGAAAAACAAATGATGGTGAGTATGTGAGAAAAAAAGGAACCATCTTATATTGTACTTGTATATTGTGCAAATATTTTCTCCCATACAGTATTGTTTTAATAAAGTACTTTTGTTTTAATGAAGTTTTCTTTTGCTGTGTAGAAGCATTTTAATTTGATGTAGTCCCAATTTGCAAGTTAATAAATTTTGCTAGTTAATAAATATAGGTTAAGCCACTATATTTTAATGCAGCAATTGCTAATTTATTTCTGCTTATGCTTATATATTAAAAATATAAAATCTCTTCAAATATAAATATGCTTTTGTTTGATGTATCTTTGAGAAAGAAAATATGTTGCTAAAAACCATGATTTTCTTCTTACTCGGAGTTTTTTGTATGCTGAGTCCAATTCTGAACACTTAGTACTCTGAGTCTTTGATACTCATGTATTTCTACACAGTGTTATCTTTTATAAAATCACAGGAACTATTGTTTATCATTTCTCTAGAGGGTAGCACTAACATCTCCAGGGTATTTCCTAAAACTCATGAAGGACAGCCATGGGCAATTCACAACAGTCACCTGGCTAACAAGGTGTTGAAGTATCTTGACTTCAGAAATGCCAAAATATGAGCTAGCATACAAACTGGGTATATGTAGTTATTTGGAAGGAGAATTAACAGAATTGGCTGAGTGCTCCTGTGTAATAGAGGGTAAGGGGACATGTAGGGCGACTATGTCATGGAATGATAAAGTTACAATTTAGTGTGGTGTGACAACAGAATTTCTGCGTTGATCCTGTAGTATTCTTACATCATCCACAATAATTTAGGTGACTGCACATGAGTCAGGGGTCAAAGGCTAAAGGCATACATTCCTAATAATCAACACTGAGGTCATTTGTAAAGCCCTAGGGCTGCATGAGACCACTGAGAATATTATTATTCATAGAGAGTAAGGACTACATTCTTGGCATGTAGAGGTTCAGAGAGGGTGAAAGACAGTAAAGGAAGAAGTAACCTCTGTGACCTCAGTGATAGGCATAGCCAAGAGACAGTCATTTCAAGGACAACCATCTATCAAAAAAAGGACTGAGAGTTGACCTTTGGATTTGGCCATGAAAAGCACATATTTTTCAGGTTACCCTTATAAGAGCCACTTCATTGCAGTGATGAGAGCTAAATTCTTATGTTGGTGGACTCACTAGAAAATGGGAGTAGAGATATCAGAGGTCAGGAGTGAGGGGAATCTTTCTAATGATTTTGCTATAAGAGAAGAAGTGGAGTGCGCAGTAGTTGCAGGAAAAGTGGAGTCAAAATGTCTTCTTGTTTGTTTGTTCTTGTATGGGAAGAACAAGAACATATTTATGCTCTAAAGAACAGCCAGTCTTATGAGAATGTACAGGGACTGGCACCGTTGATGGCATTGGTGGAGGATAAGAATAGAAAAACTAGAAGGGAGGTGCCAATATATCAGAAACCTGGCTCACACAATACCAACAGCTGGAGTGGGGGGTAGAAGTGATTAACATAGTCATTAAACCAGCTATAGGAACTAAAAATCCTTAGGTGCCAAGACACAGACCCAAGTAGTGTCAGATGCTGTGGATGTCACAGACCGGAGGTAAAGATGTGGTGATTGAGAGACATTCTAGAATCTCTGGTCCTTTCAAATTCTATAGTTATTCAAAATCAACAGCAAACAGGCCACTCCAAAACAGGATTAATCCCTCCCCAAAAGAAGACTATATCAGTGCAATCTCTGCACTGGCACGGGACAGCAGTCCATCTGCCCACCTGTGCCTATACAGGTGTTTCTTTTTGCCAGCTCTCCCTCCGCAGGGCAGCAACCTCCTGCCAGCCCATGACCTGTACCATGCCTTCTTTTCTCTTTACTGACCTTCCTCAGCAGATGCAGCTCTCCTGAAGGCCGCCCGCCTTTGATCATGCAGGTAGGTCTCTCTTAGCAAACCTGTCATTTTCGGAGGAGCCCTTTCTTCTCGCTTGTATCTATGCAAGTGTCCTTCATTCTTCTCTCCTTTTTATAATAAACCTGCCCTTTTGGATATAACTAACATCTCTGTCTCGTGGAGAAACTCTCCTGGGAAACTCGCCTCCTGCTGCGGAAAGGGGAGCTCTGGTGAAACCTTTCCCAGAGTGAACCAAAGGGCCCCCCTCTCTGAACCCAACTACTCAATAATGACTTCACTATCAGGGATTCCTAAAAAAAAAATATCTTTGGACTCGTATTTAGTGTTTAGTTAAGCATGTCTAGCAGGCAAAAGAACAGGCTTGTGAGCTGAAGACATCGATGATATGTCCTCTCCCACCTGCCCATCCCAATTTAGCATCCATGGTGTGAGGAGCAGGCAATACCTTGCATCCATGGGGCTGGGAATCCTGTGAGACTCAAAGGGATACGAGGCTAACATGTCACACCTAAAGCTAGATTGGTTCACTGTCAGCCCCCAGAGCCATACTTCCCTGAGTTCAGGTAAAAAGTCATGACATTCTCAGAAACACAAACAACAGGGAACCATTCCTACCCCTTCTTGCTCCTCTGACTTTCTCATAATAACCAACCCTTAAAGCCAAAAATAATGACACTGAAGAAACAGAAGGAAAGGGCCTTCCAGTCCATAATTGTTCCCTTTGCCAGTCCTTCCTTACTCATCAGCAAGGTCAGTGCAGAGTGTGCACACCTGGAAGTGCACTAATCCTACTGTGCTTTTAAGAATGGAATTGATTTTTACTTTTTTATAATTAGTCTTTTTCCTGGTCCCTTATTTAGATTTTCTAAATTCCTGCTATGGGTGAGACCATCCGGTATTCAAAATGAACAAACAACTATAAACCAAAGACACACTATTGGAGGGGAAGGGAAGAGGGATTAAGGTCAAAATGAGGGGGGTGGGAATTGTATGGGGACTATAACCAAGATGAAAATGCATGCATTGTGCAAAAATGAAAAAATGATATAAAAATATATAAAATAAAATAAAAAATAAATTTAAAAAAAGTTATCCATCTTTTCCAAATACACTTTAAAAAAAAAAAAGAATGGAATTGAAGGGTAAGTACATACATGAAATACAAATGTCTTAACCATGACACATAAACTAATAGAAGATAAAACACTTGGATCCTACTACAGGCATCAAAATAATTAGATCTTGAAAATCATTTTTATTTTCTTAGAATATAACATTATAAGTGAATTTGAGAAAGAAAATTGGATGCTATAAAATTTCCATGACAATGTTGGGCAATATATTATGTACACGTTAATAATATGCTGATTTTTAAACACATAATATTTCATATGAAATTTTCTTTCAAAGGAAAGGCATATACTAATAAATAAGGGCTTCCCTGGTGGTGCAGGGGCTAAAGACACAACACTATCAAGCTATTGCCACCTACTGCAGTGCAAATTCAATGCCCAGCCAGGGAGCTACCCACATGGTGCAGAATGCATAAATAAATAAATATTTTAAAAAATGGGATTTTGAATTTAAGGTTTAACTGTTCTTATTTTCACTAATAAGTAGGATAAATAAAATGATTGCCAATTAAAAAAAATTAAGATTTATTTTGTTTATACAAGAACCGGGGTACAGGCCAAACGCACGGGAGGGTGAGAAGATTCACCAAAGACAGAGTGGGGAACAGAACAGGCAGACTGACCGAAACACATTGCTGAGGGGAGCAGCAGGCGAGACAGAAAAGGTCTGCTCGCCATGTGGGTTGCTCTGAGGCCGGCAGGGATCAAACTGGCACTGCAGAGGCTATGGACAGCTCCACAGCGCTGCACTCAACTGCCTGCACCACCAGGGAGGCCCCTGATTGTCAATTTTAACTTATCAAATTTTATACAAGTTGATTTGAGAGAAATAGCGGTGTTTTATTTATTTATTTGGTATATTCTGCAATCTAATTCAATACAGGTATAATTTTGTAAGACTTGTTTTAATTCAGGGTGCTCTTTACTTTTGAATTCATCTTCGTTTTTCTTTTATCAGTTATTCACTTTTTTCTTTTTTTGTTAATTACCATTGGTTTACAACACTGTGTATAATTCAAATATACAGGATCACACAGCTTCAGAAGTATGCTACCACACTACTCCGACCACCAATTTTGAGTTAATGTGTATGACTCTTAATGTTTCTACTTTTCTCCACATCACCATTATCTGAATTTTATGGATTGGAATTATAAAGTCTACAGTGCATCAGTGTTTTTGTATTTGTTTGTTTCTTTTGTTTTTATCTATGTTGATTTAGGTAGCTTTGGTTTACAGCACTGTGTGTGATTCTGAGGCATTGGATTAAACCCCCAGTTGAATGTCACCAAACGGAGTAAAAAGCAAGGTACATACTGTTGGGAAAAGAAAACCACAGCAAAACCTTTCTTAGAATGTCTATTGGAAATGCTGGCGCTGTATTGTCGATTTCATTATCGTGTTAGAAACACTTTTGCCCCAAGTGCTTCTCCTAGTCCTGATTCTTAATTGTTGTTATTTTGCAGTGTAAAATATTGATGACATTGGTCAAAAAGATTGACAGTGGCATGAATTGTTATTAACCAGACTGTTGGTTGCAGCTTACATTTCAATACACACCAGGATGAAGCAGGAGCCCTCTGGGGGATTCTTTTTCATTCTCCTTTTCAAATAGCAGGAAATTAACCCTTTCATAACTTTCTTTGCAATTTTTTTTATTCCTTTGAGCAATTAAAACACCAGTTATTGATTTGTACCATGAAACATAAAAGGACTAACTATTTATCATGTTAGAGGGTGGAAATCATCCTGAAAGGTTAAAATAACAAAGGAGGCAAAATGCCTCACCTAAAAAGTGAAGATTATGAAAACAGAGTATTACCTGGAGAGTGCAAACCTCAGTGATGTTCAAGATTGACCTTGAAAAGACAAAACAAAAATAAAAGCAGAAAGAAAGATTGCATTAGAGAAGATAGAAAAGTGTTCCCTCTCCACCTCCAGCACACAGAAAGTTAGTCCTATGGATAAAATTTTAGAAGAAACATCTACCTGTTTTTGTCTATTTATAATCCATGAAATCTAGCTAGAAAATTTCTAAAGTGACTTGTTTTTTTTTAGGTTTTAAACAATATTCTTCTTATTAATATTTTAATTTTATATATGTTTTTACATCATTTTTCATTTTTGCACAATGTATGTATTTTCATCTTGGTTATATCCCCATGCAATTCCCAACCCCCCTTATTTTGATCCCACTCCCTCCTCGCCCCCCGGTAGTGTGTCACTGGTTTATAGTTGCTTGTTGATTTTGATTTTTACTTTATTATAATTTGTCTTTTTCCTGGTCCTTTTATTTAGGTTTTCTAAATTTCTGCTATTAGTGAGGCCATCTGGCATTTTTCTTTTTCTTTCTGGCGTATTTCGCTGAGCACAATCCCTTCTAGCTCCATCCATGTTGCTGCAAATTGCATGTGTTTATCTTTTTTGATTGCTGAGTAATATTCCGTTGTGTATATGTACCACATCTTCTTGATCCAGTCATCTATTTTGGGGCATTTGGGTTGTTTCCATAACTTAGCTATTGTAAATAGAGCTGCTATAAACATAGGGGTGCAGGTGCCCTTTGGAATTAATGTTTCTGGGTCCTTTGTGTAAATACCTAGGAGTGAAATTGCTGGATCATATGGAAGCTCCACCTTTAGCAGGTTGAGGAATCTCCACACAGCTCTCCTTAGTGGTTGGACCAGTTTGCACCGCCACCAGCAGTGCAGGAGATTTCCTTTTTCTCCACATCCTTGCCAACATTTATTGTTGCTAGATTTTTTAATATGTGCCATTCTCACAGGTGTAAGATGGTATCTCCTTGTAGTTTTGATTTGCATTTCCCTGATTACAAGTGATGTTGAACATTTTTTCATATGCCTGTTGGCCATTTGCATTTCCTCTTTGGAGAAGTTTCTTTTTAGCAATTCTGCCCATTGCTTTGACTGGATTATTTACTTTGTTTTTTGTTGAGTTTCATCAGCTCTTTGTAAATTTTTGTGATTAGTCCTTTATCATTAGTGTTGTATGCAAAAATTTTCTCCCAACTGGTGGGGTGTCTCTTTGTTTTGGTTATTGTCTCTTTTGCTATACAGAAGCTCTTTAATTTCATGTAGTCCCAGCTGTTTATCTTTGCCTTCACTATCACTGCTTTGGGTGACGTGTCTTTAAAGATGTTACTGAGTTGTATGTCATGTAGTGTTTCACCTATATTTCCTTCTATATACTTTATGGTTTCAGGTCTTTTTTTTGGGGGGGTCATTTTTTTAAAGATTTATTTATTCATGCATAGAAGAACCGGGGTACAGGCCAGATGCGTGGGAGGGTGAGAGGATTCACCAGAGACAGAGTGGGGAACAGAGCAGGCAGACTGACTGAAATACACTGCTGAGGGGAGCAGCAGGTGTTATAGGAGAGATCTGTCGTGCTATGTGGGATTCTCGCTGGCTGGCTGGGATCAAACCGGCGCTGCAGAGGCTGTGGAAAGCTTCACAGCGCTTTGCTCAACTACCTGCACCATCAGGGGAGGCCCTGGTTTCAGGTCTTATGTCTAGTTCTTTCATCCATTTTGAGTTGGGTTTTGTGCATGGTGTGAGGCAGTAGTCAAGCTTCATTCTTTTGCATGTAGTGACCCAGTTTTCCCAGCACCATTTACTGAACAAAATTTCTTTGCTCCTTTGTCAAAGATTAGTTGACCATAAATCTGTGGATTTTCTATTCAGTTCCATTAGTCCATGTGTCTCTTCTTGTTCCAATACCATGCAGTTTTGATTACTATGGCTTTGTAGTATAGTTTGAAGTCTGGGAGTGTGATACCTCCATTCCCTGGGTACAGTCAGAAGCACGGGAGGGTGAGAGGATTCACCAGAGCCAGAGCAGGGAACAGAACAGGCAGACTGAGGAAAT